TTTTATTTTTTTAGATTTAATTCTTTTCTTAGTTTCTCATAAGCATCAGGATTGTGTTTTTTGAGATATTTAAAAAACTTCTTTTCCTTGGCGAGTTTTTTTTTCAATGCTCTTTCTGCCGGGACGTCTTTTTTGTTTTTTCCTAAGTGTATTTTTTCTTTATCAATTCTTTCTCTTAATGAAATTATTTGCACTGCGGTTGAACCAGTATCTTTTTCATGAAGTTGATAATTCTTTTTCGCTATCATTTATATTATATTAATTTTATTTATTTTTTTTACTCATTAGTTTAACAATCAAGAAAATAAAGAAAGCAAAAATTATAATCGGTAAACAAATAAGAATAATTTTTCCTCAATCACTTTTATTTTCTGCCTTTGACTGGCTTTTATTTGGACTTTTGGTTGGTTTTTCTTGTTTTTTATCTAGTTCATAAAAATAATTTTCACTGTCCCAAAACCCAACTTTCTTAACCGTATTTTCAAAATATTCTGGGGTTTTTAAAACCATGGTATTTGAATTATTGATATTAAATTTTGCTGTTTTTGCTCCTCCTAAATTAACAATGAACTTATATTCTTTACCTAACGGTGGCATCCCAAAATTAATGTTTTCTCTTTTTAATAGGTCATCGAGTATCCAAATTCAGCAGCAATAGCAAACTCCTCTGTCCCTTTTGGTAAAATAGAAATACTCGTCCGGTATAACTTTTACTTCTGAGTCAACTACTACAAATCCGTGGTATTTTTGAGGCTCTTTATCATTGAAAAACTTTTGCTTTTTGCTCCCCTTATATTCACATTTGATTTTAAATTCTGGCATTATAAGTTAAAAATGGCGCCTAGTGGAGGATTCGAACCTCCGACCTGCCGGTTAACAGCCGGATGCTCTGCCACTGAGCTAACTAGGCTTAAAATTCTGCTAAACCAAAGCAAAAATCACCCGCAAATTATTATCTCCCATTCGATAATTTAATTTAGTAATTCGGCTATAACCGCCGGCTCGATCTTTATATCTTTCTTTTAAGTCAGAAAATAATTTATCCAACAACTTTTTGCCTTCTTTGTCTTCTATTTTTTTTTTATTGACTAAATATTGTAATGCCAGGCGACGAGAATGTAAACTATCTTGCTTAGCATATTTAATGAGTTTAGCCAACAATTTGGTCAGGCTCCAAGCCATTGGCAAACTAGTTTCCACCTTTTCAAACAAAATAGCATCCGCTACCAAATTATTGAGGACATG